TTGTGAAATGGAGCTGATGTGCAGTATGCTGGAGGGCTCTCCAAATCTGCAGTACTTAACATGTGTTATTCACGCAGGTCTATTTTCCTTTAAAACTCATCCCACAGCTGACTCCTTCAAGGCTTCTTGCAAGCCCCATTGTAGTCCTACCCACTTCCAGAGACAGGACACAGATAAGGGGACAGCTGCCTGACTGCAGAGCAGAACAACCTTGCATCCATCTCCTGTCAAAGTGCATTTTTTACCCGACTGAACTCCTTCACAACACGTGTTGCATGGAAAGACTCAAAAACCTTGACATTGCACATGCTTGCTGTCATGCAGTCCCCTGTGACTAACAAATCGATGGTGCTCTGCTGCCTTCACCGCGTAGAAACGTCTCAGCTGCCCTGTGAATGGTGTGGAATTCTATTGCTTTAGTAATAATCACTTCCGCAGCACATTACAGCTATTTGCACAGTGCTTAACAAGTGTGATGTGGCACTAACTACTGCTTAGGCTCAAAACTATTTTTCAGAATTAAGAATTTCAATATGACTCATTGAGTGGAAAAATACAGATCATGGCCTGAACAAGCGAGTAGCCCATGAGAAAGGGCTTGAGTTAACTTGGAACACAAGTAAACTGCCACTAGCTTCTGCATGCAGCTAGAAGAAACTTGTTTTGAGAAACTACTGTGTAGATGTAATCAATCATCCTTGCTTTCTGTGAATGACCTTGCTTATACTGATATGTGTGCGTTACTGTCTCCCGCTGTTGTATATGGTCATGGTACTAGGGGGGGTTAGCAGACCTCTTGCTGGCTGCCACTGGGACCTGGTGGGGGTAGTCCCAGGGCAGGCACTCTATTGGCCACCCCAGGTAACATGAGTACCTCTTCATTAAACTGATGAACTTCGTGTACTTTCTTGTGGGTCAGTAAACCTCATGCAGAAGTGCTGGTGCTTTTCATTACGCTTACTCACTCTGTTATAATCTTTTTCTGCATGGTACTTATATGAGAATCCCCTTCTCCACGTGTCTACTTATGCCTGACAGCAGCCATGGATTTGCTAGGCAGCTTAGTAAGATTTAGCCACTGCTGTCCAGTCTCTTGCATTCATCCAGGGTCTCGGGATGCCTGGCAGGAACACTTGCAGCAGCCAGAGCTCTCCAGGAAAATGGACTGTTACTGACCTGTGCCTGACAGGAGCTCATGAAAGTCAGCTAGGCCAAAACTGCAAGGGTCTACAAGTTCAGTACACCATTTTGGGTGCTCAGTTACTCTCAATACCCACAAAATAACAAGTTCTCAAGACCCAACAAAAAACACTGTACTTGAGCATCAGTTACTACTCAAAGTGGGAATGCTCATACTTGTCTTCCTTCACTAGATGTTTACATAAATAGAGTGGAAACTGTACATACTTAAATCCTTCTGTGTGTCTTGAACAGAGTGCTAACAACTTCTGAAGTATTTTGTTAGCAATGTAGTTTCTTAAAGCCTTGCTATTTTCCTTAAAGCCCATCCACGCTTGGCATAGATATCTTGTAAAGAATGGTTTTGGAAACAGGAAAAGAATAAACTGAAAATATACAGAGCAGGCTAAGAGAGTCTGGGTTTGGATAAAACTCCCACTGAAAAGAACGACAAATGGCACACGCTCTACTTTTTTTCTAGTGCTCTCCATTGCACTTTGGACCAATGCCACAAATTTTAAAGCAGTTCCCATCCTTCTGTCCCACAACAAGAGCCACTGTGGGTTGCACTTCTCAGGAATGAATTTCACATGATCACAGCATCACTGAATCATAGGGGTTGGAAGGGAACTCTGGAGATCATCTAGTTCAAATCCTGCTAAAGTGGAGTCCCTGGAGAAGATTGCACAGGAAAGACTGTCCAGAGGAGATTCCACAAACTCCATGGGCAGCTTGCTCCAGTGCTCTGTCATCCTCACAGTAAATAAGTTTTTCAGTGAAAATGTATTCAAAGAGACATTAAAACAAAATGTATGGCTGATTAGACTTCTGTTTGTCTGAGAAATTGCAAGCTGCATTATATTAGATGTAAAAAAGGACTTGAGCAACACAGTTCACACATCGTTTCTAGTGTGGTACATGACTCAGTAAGGCTGAGTGGGAGAACCAGACAGGTCTGAATCACCACTTTTTCCTCCTCTCTGAAACAGTATTATCTCCAAGCAAATAATTTCCAGTCTCAAAGACGTGGCAGTTCAGTAGAGGCAACCACAAACCTCACGTTCCAGAAGGAGCCAACTGGTTAATGAAAATTCACAGCTGCTTCGTATTTGAAGACACTGATGTATGTAGAAGGAAATTAGTTAATTAATCTTACAATTCTGGAACTTGAGAAGTATTTGGAGAGACAGTGAGCTCCATTTCATGATTTCACAGAAGCCATGTATTATTTAGCTCTTTCCATTGTTCAGACTGATGTATGAGAAATGCAGCTGTGCAGTCTGACAGGAAAAGTGAGAAAGACCAGATTTCAAGAACAGAGAAGTAAGAAAGAAAGAGTTTGAGTTCCCAATGTTCTATCAAACAGATCTGCATTTTTTCTGGCAAGTTCAGTGGGCAAAGAACAGAAACCTGTGCAATACGTGGGAAGACCTTCACACATTTTGACAAGTAGATTGAGGACTTTTATCTGCTAAGAGATGACTACATTTGGAAAACCACCAACATTCTGCATTTTCCTTAAGCCAACTAATAACAAGCATTCGCACATCACGTGTGCTTGACTGATCCTTTCATACCCTCTTGCATCTTTTAACATCTAGTACCTACAACTTACTAACTAGATTAGTAATATTAAAATGAAGCACAAAGCTAAATAATGGTTGAATAAAAATAATTAAATGAAAACTAAAAAAAAAATTAAGAATTTCTGATTTTTATAATACTATCAATATTTAATAAAGAAGAAACCGATACTGCTCTACAGAAATTACCTGAAATATGAAATTCAACTGAGAAGTTTCAAATCTTTGCAAACAACTTTATCAGACTTCTGTAGAGGAGATATTAAGTAGGGATTTCTCACGTAAAGTTGGTGATGTACCAGGATATACACTGCATAGTAAAATGACGTGGTGCTGCAAAACTCAACTGAAATACATAATTAGACCAAAATGGTGATTGTAATGCTTTCATTACTTTATTGCTGATTGCTTTCATTTACAGAATTCAGAAATGCAACTTTATGCTTTATGGTAATCATTTATTTCAGAATGAGAAATACTCCAAAGAACTATGTTCTTTACTGTTTAAGGACAAAATTGTTTTCTATCAGAGAAATCCACATGTGCACATATTCCTTGAAGGAAGCTGCAGCAACTGTAAGAACAAAATGTTGTCTCTCTTGACAAGACCGGCAGATTTAGGAATGGGAAGACATCAAAGATAAATGGAACACAGGAGGCCTCAAAATTCCTGGAGTACACACAGCCCAAGGAGCCTCAGTTCCAGCTAGACGTGTTTTCAAAGCAGAGCACTTCAGTGCTGCCTTAACCTTTCTTGCACTGCACAAAAATATCGACTGGGTTTGATAGTACGTAAAGTCAGTACGTAGCCAGTACAAGTAGTGATGTGGATTTTACCGTGGATTCTGCTGTCAGTGATAATTGCAGTTGCCTACATTGCAGTGAGACCATACTCTACATCACTCAGAAGCTCATTGTCCTGCTTTGGCTTCCCTCAGCCCTTTTGAGTGCTCATGAGGACAGGCAAGCACAGCACGGTCATCCTATTTCACAGTTAACTGAGGAAGAATAGCACCTTGCTTTAGTGCAGACTGGTACGGGTCCCCTGCAACTGATGGGGCACACAGCCCAGGGCAGGTCAGTCATTCACAAATGGTGTTGCTGTGCGTTCTCATGCCCAGCACCCTGACCATCATGGTGGGCTTCTGCTGGACTTGTTGCGCTTTAAGCACCCTGTCACAAAATTGGTGAAGGGTCTGGAGGGGGAGACACACAAGGAGCAGCTGAGGTGCCTTGGTTGGTTCAGCACAGAGCAGAGGAGCTGAGGGAGACCTCCCGACGGCCTGCAGCTCCTCACGAGTGGAAAGGAGAATCAGGGCTGAGCTCTGCTCTCTGGTGGCAGGGACAAGGCCTGAGGGAACGGCATGGGGCTGTGTCAGGGGACGGTCAGGTGATAGTTGGGGAAAGGTTCTGCACCAGAGAGTGGTGGGCATGGAACAGGCTGCCCAGAGCAGTGGTCAGAGCTGCAAGCTGCCAGAATTCCAGAAGCGTTTGGACAACGCCATCAGACATTGGCTTTAAATTTTGAGTGGTGCCGCGTGGAGCCAAGGAGGCTCATTGATTGGAGGGTTCCTTCCAATTCCAGATATTCTATGGTTCAGTGAATCAAGGAAACGCCACACAACTGTGGTTACTGGACAAATGGCTGCAGTTCGCGTTCCAGCTGTAGGGAGCCACATAGCACCCGTCTCCTCTAGGTCAGCGCTACCAGTGCATAGAAAGCACAGCATGGTCTGCTTCTTTTTGCCACACAGCGGTGTTATTTCAACTGCTTTTGTCTTTCCGCCCTTCTTTATTCTATTCTTCCTTCCTACCTGAAAGGAAGGAAGCACGAATGGAACACGTCCCCCGCCCCCCTGTGGCAGCAGGCCGCCCACCGCCGCCATTTTCGGCTCCTCCCGCCTGCCGCGCCCCCAGCCCCACACTCGCGGCTCGGCCCGATGGGCGGAGCCAAAGCAGGAGGGGTGGGGCCTGGCGGGCGGCAGCCACCAATGGTGCGGTGGGGGCGGGGCGAGCCGCCCGGGGAGGCGGCCGGCGGGCGGCCGCGGCCGACATGGCGGGGGAGCGGCGCTGCCGCCCGCGGTCTGGAGCGGGATGGCGGGGGCATGGCGGCGCTGCTGAGGCGGCGCGGGGCGGCGGCGGGGCCCGCTGACAGCGGGGAGCAGCGGGAGCCGCGTCCCCTTCCCGGCCGCGCGGCGGCCGCCCTCGGGTGCGGGCGGCGCTGAGGGCTAGCGGGGGGCGGCCGTGCGCCCGCGCCGCCGCCATGCTGCCCGGCGTGGGGGTGTTCGGCACCGGGCTGACGGCGCGGGTGATCGTGCCGCTGCTGCAGGCGGAGGGCTTCGCGGTGAAGGCGCTGTGGGGCCGCACGGCCGAGGAGGCGGAGGAGCTGGCCAAGGAGATGAGCGTGCCCTTCCACACCAGCCGCATCGACGAGGTGCTGCTGCACCAGGACGTTGACCTGGTGTGCGTCAACCTGCCGCCGCCGCTCACCCGTCAGGTGGCCGTGAAGACGCTGGGTGAGTGCGGGGCCCCGCGGCCGCGGTGCTGCGGGCGGTGCCCGGGGGAGCGCCCGGCTCGGGGCAGGGCGGGCGGGCGGAGGATCGCGGGGGACCCGAGGTGACGCTGCGCCTCGTCCCTCTCCGAGCGTCTGTAGCCGCTCCCCGTCGCGTGCTGGGCTTGCGAATGATGCTGGGAAGCGGTGTGGCTGAGCCCGTAGCTCGCTGATGCAATCTGCTAGCAACGGAGCGAAAGAATTGAAACAAAAAGGTGTTCGCTGGGAGAACAGCCGTGCCCGTTCTCTTTCAGCCTCCTCTTCAGTTTGCTTTCCTCCGGCTACTCCGGTGCCGCCTGTTTGCCTACTGCAGAGGTAGTAACACCTACTAACCGGCCCCTGTCTCCCTGTTGTTTCGGAGAGAAATGTCTGCCGCTCGATTTTAATTTGAATTTCGTGGAAATGGAAGTTGTGGTGTGTCGAAGCAGGTGGCAGCGAGGGATGGGAGCTGTGCTTCCCGAGCAGCCGCTCTCCCTTCACTTCCTCCCCACTCTGTGCCTGCTCGCCCTGGAGCTGCCTTCTGCCTGCCGCTGGGCTTGGCATTTATCAAGTGGGACTTCAGGGTCCTCTGACCAGCGTGAACAGTTCCTTCTTATGATAAGGAAAGGATGTGGGTCTTTTTAAAAAAAACAATACCACATCTTTCTTTTTTTGGTATGTTTGTTTTCCTCCTGGGGCTTCGTGCACGAAGCACTGTGTGGCAGCCAGTGATAGGACATGGGCAGCTGTACCAGAGGTTCTATTCATAGAACCTCATCTTCAAGAGGGCTGAAAATGATGTCCTGCATTGCAGGAGATTGAAGAAAGCCAGTGTTGTTCATTGATACACCCTGATCTGGTTTCCATGTGGGGAGAGGCATATGTGTCCTGGAAAGCTGTGGGCTCCATTTTTTTTTTTTCCTAACCTATATTTTGCTTTTTGAAGTCCCTTGTTGCTAGAAGCGCTGTTTTCAGGCAAAGAGGTTTCACTATCAAAAAGCAAGAGCCTGGGGCAGAAGCCAGTGGGTTTCCATCGTGTGCCTGTGTTTGCACTGTGAGTTCTCAGTGCCTTCAGCCCACTGCCTTCTTCCTGGTGTGGGCACTGGAGGTGGTGTGGAGCCAGGCAGGTGTCCTCACAGCTGTGTGCTCAAACAGTGCCACAGGAAGCGTGTGGTTGTGTTGTTGTTGCTAGTGCTGTGACATACAGGCACGTATTGCTGCTTTATGCTTATTCTGGGCATGGTGGCCCAGCCCTTCAACCACTGCTACAATGCAAAAGTGTGAATTCAGCCTTGGTTCAGGAAGTCCCCCAAACTGTAGCTTCCTGGAAGCAGGGAGGGAGAAAACAGCAAGCTTAAAAGCTCTATTTCCCTCCTGATAACTTTTCCACTGGTGTCTTCTGCTTATCTCTGTTAGAAACAGAGCCAGATCCAGTTCAGGGGCCTGTTCTGCAGTTCTCAGCTGATTTGCTGCTTGGTAATCAGGAAGGATCTGCACTTAAATATTTGGGTGAGCCTAGAAACCGGTCTGAGTGTTGAGTAAGGATGTTTTCCCTTCTCACTGAGCAGAAATGTTCAGCATGTCTGCTAGCATCGTTCTGCTTTCACGCTGCCTGTGTGCACCAGCAATGCAGTTGTGTCTCAGACCTAGCCAGGAAAGGGGATGGGTTCACATGCAGACACACAGTGTGTCACCAGAACCCTTGTGTTTAGCATCAGAAGAGATCCTGTTACAGTGCAAGCCTCCACCTCATTAGAAATTGTCAGCGTAATCCCCCTACCATATTTAACTGAGTCAATTAAATATGACTTTCTTCAGATGCTCACTGGAATTTGCACCATGTGACTGAGTAGCTGCTGCATCACTTGAAGTGATTGCTGCAGGTGGAGCTGAGAAGCCCACCTTCTCAGGCATTTCATGTCTGTTTTAGGGAAAGCTGCAGCCATTTCTGTGTTTCTGTTGCTTTGGTACTTGAGTCAAGTCAGTTTAGCTGAAGAGAATTTATTGTGAAGGTTCTTGTGAACGCTTATGCTTTGCACTGGCACTAAATGCCAGATGTTCTTCAAGCGTGTTTCTAGAGATGGGAACCTACTGCCTGTTTTTGCTTCCTTTCATGTTCAGCCATGGACAGAAGCACTAAGCTACATGCTAAGTGTCTGCTGCATACTTGCAGCCGTGTCTGCACAGCATTATTTTTGAAATGTTTATGTTGCAGTAGTACCTGGTAGGAGTCTGTTCTGCCTGGGGACTGTGCAGGCAGAGTACAACTTTCCCAGCCCTGTGCAGCTTGTTCCTCTTAAGAGCACTTAAATTTGTTTGCTGACCAGTGCTTCTGTACTTGATCATGGTCATGAGGGAACATCTTCATGAATAAAGAGGCATAAATTGTGCTGCTGGGCTCCTGCCTTCCCTTTGTGCAGACAGGTGGTACAGGCCTGTCGTTTGGAAGGTGTTTGTGGGAGCCTGGAGGTGATGAAATGCTGGCAGAGTATTGCTGGGCCTACCCCTGAGATCAAAGAAACATCACCTGTGCTGGAGTAATTCACAGATCTGATGTAATCTGTAATTCACGTACACATTCCTTTGCACTCACTCATACAAATTATTAAGAGGTTACCGGGTTCTAGCTGTGGAACAGCTTCTGTGATGCACGTTTTATAATGTGCTAAGACCCTCTATTAAGGTAAGATACTATCACAATTATGAATATCAATGTAATATTTGTCCCGCAATATTGAATTTAAAACTGCCTGACAAGCAATGACATTGAACAGAGCAAGCACTTGTGCTTGGAAGGCAAGCGACTTTGCAACGTATTAAAAGTGAATTATGGGCATCTTACTGCAAAAGAAAAAGTCAGATGCAGTGCTGTCTATCTTCAGTTTGCAGAGCTGGGAAGGAACGGCAGTGTTGCTCTTTTCTCCCATGATAGACATGAGAAAGTGAGTCCAAAGAGTGTGCTGGCAGGCAGCTGCAAGCCTTCATCTTGGTAGAGTGATGGCTGTGTATATTTTAGAAGAAGCAGAACATAGCACACAGCTTTCCCATTGCCTTTTTTTCAGTACTGCAGACCTTTAATTCCAGTCTGGTTCCTGTGAAACTCCTGGGACTGAGTGCACAAGACGGTTAAGGTGGAAATGACTGTTCAGGTACTATTGTAAAAATGAACAAAATAAACAAACAAAAAAAACCCCTTGTTTCCTTCCTGGCTTTTAGATCAAATGCACTTTCCCACTTTTTCCTGGTGAAAGTAAATGCCAGTTCAGGTTCTGTGGTGGTAATGGGCACTGGGGGTGCTGGGGCACTGAATTCTCATTGCTCTGACACACCCAGGTTTGCTGAGGCTGAGGAGCAGCTAGCAGGGGTCAAAATCCTTGTGCTGCACCAGGTGAGGCTGTGTCAGACGTTACTTTACCTATGGTTGCCTTGGCTAAAAAAAATGCCTGCCCAAGCATCACTGCTCTCAGTCACTGCACTTAGAACAGCAGCGTGGGGTACCAGGGCATGGGCACCCTCCTTTCTAAGACTAGAGAAGTTCTGAGAAAAGGTGTGTTTCTAGCTCTAGCTGTATATAGGGTATTGTGGTTATTTAACTTCAGGAGTAAATTACAGCATCCCTGACAGACTGAGCCCTATAAGGCAGAGGATAGATATTTTGTCATTGTTTTTCTTGACCCTGTGCCTTTGTTCTTAATTGTAGTGGCCACTGTTCCATGTGCTGCAGTGCTGGGTTGACTGGTCCTTGCTCACACCCTTACTGCAATGACTTTCTTCCACGTTACTGGGTTTGGGACTTGTCCTTTACCTATACAACCTGTCAGCATAAAGGACTGTCAGAGTGAGCTCGGCACTCTGTCAGCAGGTGAAGGAATTGGGTCCTGCTCCTGGAGTTTCCAGTTTTGGGGAGGTGTTTAATTAAAGGAGTTTACAAAGAATGGATAGATAAATGCAGAGAAAGGAGAATCTCCTGGACAAATAAAAGAACAGTTTTCAGGCTTCCCAGTGTTGCTTCTACTCTCCTCTAAAGACCTCTTAATGCTCAAGTCTGACACCACATAACAGAGATTTGCCGTGTGACTTCAGAGGTGGGTAGCTGAGCCTGTACACACTGAACTGTCTGCTTATTTGAGACCTAAATCATGCTGAGGCATACTGCAGCTTATTGCCCTCTTCTCTGTATGTACAATAGATTTTTGTCCATTTAGCAGTAGTGATAGCAAAGCACCAAGGAGTAAAATGGAGTTAAATTCCAGGCAGCCAGGGCTGGTGTTTTCCACAAGCTGCTGCAGTGCAACAACACCCTTCACTGTTAATATCAGCTTGCCACAGCGTTATCCGGAGTTGCTAAGAATTGTACTGATTTCCTCAAACCACCAAAGCAGAAGCCTTTACCCTGCTGTGTATTTTTTGTTACTTGTTTAATAACCCTGCAGCTTACGTGAGTGAGCTGTCAAAGTCAGAGACCTAATTTACAAGGTCAGCATGCATGCGTGCAACAAAACCGCAGTCCTCACAGAAAAATGATCTCTGGTCATAAGACTTGATTTAAACAAATTTATTTAAATAGCTATGTAAGGAACAATCCCTCATTATGTTCCCTAAATTGATTTAAGGCCTGGTCTGCACATAGATTTTGTAGTGGTATAATTATGACTGCTAGGGTTACGATTTCTTGAATGTAATAAAAGTTCCATGGCCATTAGAAGTCCAGCTGGTGTGTGTGCCATTCTTCACCCTTAATAATTTCTTTCTCCTGTGGAGGTGCAAACGGCCACTTGCATGTACATGCAGAGCATTTAGCTGGTATGAATTTGTCTTTACTACAAGTGTGGTCCAGCTCTGACTGTACTGGTACATTATAGAGCCAGTTCTATTTAGCATCGTTTGCAAATGATACTGAATCAAGGAGATGACACCGACTTTTTCAAGGATAGAGAGGCTTTGCATAGAGATCTTGGCCATCTAGGGATGACTGGGCAGTCACTG